CCGAGGTAAATTTTTGGGGCCGGAGCTGGTCGTAACCCGAAAAATTAGCAAGCAGAGGCGTTCGTATCCCGAGGTACCACTGTACATGAGAAGACGTGTTTTTCCTATATTTTGTATGATATTTGCATTTTATGGAGTTTTGCATGTTTTATCAATAAGCACCAGTTAGTATATATTTTCTGGCTGGATTTCTTTGGGGAACAAGAAACGGACATTGCATTTTGTAAATCTTTCATGCTGATGTGTATTTTTCCTGGGCAACTTTTTCTGGAAGTATTGCTGCACTCTGCTCAACACTTAAGCCATCCTTGCACTGCTTCACTAGTGGGAGGACACAGAGACATGAGCATGTGTACTTGTGATGTACTTGTGAGCTATCCTTGTGCTGAGGAAAGAGTCCGTGTGGATTTGTCCCTAGTCTGAAATGAGAACTTTGTAGCAGAGGCCTCCAGTTCTGTTCTACAGTACTGTACTGTTGTATGGCAGAATTTATCAGTAAATGTGCATTTCCCCTGCTATGCAACAGCCTTGCTCTGCTTTTGATTTTCACTAAAAACTACCCTTTCCAACGGGTGTAGAAAAGAGTGCAAGTCTTAACAAGGCCCAAGTTCTTCAAGCCACTGTCCAGAGGTTCAACAGTCCTCTGTTGCCTATGCTATTGCCAGCATCTGGCAATGCACTATATTTTAACAATAAGCAAATTCTGAACAGCTGTCCAAAATTTACAGTTCATTAAATGATTCCATATAGAGGCTTTACTCTTCCATACAGTTATGTACCGTTATGGTCTATAATCCATCTATTATTTGAGCTCTTCTAAATATCTACATACTGTAGTTACCTAATATTTTAGAGATCTTCACATCTATTCTATCAAATCTTCCTATGACAAAATATGCATTAATACCCCACCACATTTTTCTTCAGATACTGGAATCTTTGCATATATATTTAACCTCCTATAATGGAGGTTAGCAAGGCAAATTTCCGAGTCTGTGTTAAAGCAAAACAGATCCATCCAACTGATTATAACTTAATCTTTTTCCCTTCTAATAAGGAAACTTGGGAGAGATATTTAGCTAGAGTCATGAACAAACACCATTCCACCCCTCTCTTGAGGTTATGTATATGGAGATCCCCCATATATTTCTCTTGCCAGAGAATGGGAAAGAGAAGAAAAGATCCTGTTGCAGAGTGGGGAGAGTGAGTGTTGCAGAGTTCCATAAAGTAAGACCAATGCAGCCCAATTTAATGGCTGTAAGTAATCAGAGGGTGGTTTAGATTTTATTTTAAATGTGTTCAAAGACTTGCCCAACTCCCTACACAGCTATTTTCCCTAGGGCTACCAGATTTGGCCACAAAACTCTAGACACCACAAGAGGGCACTCATGAGATACAGAAAACTCTTCCACTTTGCTGACAGCTGGTGATTCTCCAAATTTTGGAACTCAGATCTAGTTGTCCTGACTTTCCTTGACTCTCAGTTTCTGTTTTCAGTGGGCCTGCCCATCATCCCTTTCATCACACAACCTTTTGAAGATCCTATCTTCAACAGACAATTTTGTGTCTTGGGGGTTGTAAAGTGGTAAAAGGTGGCCTAACTGGACAGATTACCAGTTGTTGATAAGATATGACACCGGAAGATGAGCCCCTCATGTCGGAAGGTGTCCAGTATGCTACTGGGGAAGAGCGGAGGGTAATTCCAAGTAGCTCTGGAAAGAGTGAAGCGGCTGGGCCAAAGCCAAAAGGACGTTCAGCTGTGGATGTATCTGGAAG